TGTCCAGGGGAGACCAGCAAGGTTGTGGCCTCAGTGCTCTGTGCAAAGCGCTGTTGCGTTTTTCTAGGGCAGGACTAAGGAAAGCAGAGACCCTCACTGCTTGGGAAATACCTGGGCCCAGAGCATCAGAGACTGAATGGGCTGAAAGGTCCCGAAGCCCTGCGTCGTCTACTACGGTGTTCTCTCCACTCCTACCCCAGCAGCCAGGTAGCAACTCCCCCTGCACAGGGAATCCTCCCTAACAAAGGGGTTCTGTGAGCGTGAGCTCATTGCCTCACCAGGATGCTTGGGTTTCCTGGCTGCCCGGTGCGGGCTCTTTCTGGGGTGTCCCCAAGGCTCCTATGGGGGTGCCATGTAGTAAGCTCATTGGGAGTGCAGTATGCCAGGTTTTGTCAGGTGAGGGACTGAGCACTGATCCCCTGGGACTGGAGCAAGGGGGAGCATGGGTCATAGGGGTGCTGGGCTGCTGAGCCCCTCGACTGAGGGCCTCCTCCCCGTGCCCACCTTGGAGGGCCCGAGAGGTTATAACTTAGAGCACAGAGCAGGGGTCCCCTTTCTTGCATACTTGCTGCCTCCAACCCTGCTCAGCCTGGGGTGTGGCAGCCTTGATAGGGAGGGGAGGTGATAGGGCAGTTGGCCTGGGGTGACCCCGCCCCTCTCTTCAGCTGAGTCATCCCTCCTTGGGGCTAGCCCCCAGCCCCAGTCCCAGCTCTGGGGAGGGTAGAGCAGCCTGTGAGAAAGCCTCGGGTCTTTGTGAGTGTGGAGGGAGGACGCAGGGTCGCTGAGCCTCAGGGTCAGAGTGAGGGCTGAGTCCGTTTGATGTGCCTGGGTGGGGTGTGGGGACGCCAGCGCATAAAGAAGCCATAGAATTGCTGCCTGACACCGGCCCAGGGCGGGGGCTGCCCCCACTGGCTGCTCTGGCCTCTGTCAGCAGAGGGAATCTGCCCCCCAGCTCCACCTCAGCCGTGAGGGGTGGCAGGAGCCCCTTTGAAAGCCCTCAAAGGGCTCTTTATCCATCCCTCTGACCCTCCCTTCCCTCCGGGAGCTACTAGGGAGTGGGCTCGGGTCGCCCTTCCTCCGCCTCCTTCACTCTGTCTTTTGAATTTTGGACAAAGTTCAGGCCAAGTTTGTTCGTGTTGCTCTTTCGTTTCTGTGCTCCCTGCTTGGGTCCAGACCCACATGGGGGCATTGTAACCTGGGCAGGGGATCGTCTCTCTGTACCTTCACCACCTCTGAGCCCTTAGGAGTTGCCAAAGCTGGGGTTCGGCTGGAATTCCCTTGGTGGGGTGGAGGGGGGAGGACTTCAGTCTTTCTCATCTCTTACACACCCACCGTCTGCTTTCCTTCATGCAGTCATTAGGCAGGCATTTCTGGGGCCCTTTTCTTGCAAGGTGAGTGCCTGAGGATGGTGATGGAAAGCTGGCTTGTCCTTGGGGTGCTGCGCGTTGGGGTGCGTGGGGGATGGGCCTACAGAATGCAGAGTCACTAACCTTGCCTGGGGGCCTTGGCCTCTCTTGGCTTTGGTTCTGTAACCCCAGGGAGGAGGAAAGATGGCCTGGGCGGAGCTCCAGAAGGTTCCCAGAGGTCTTGAGTTTCCTCCAACTTGCTTGCCATCCTGCCATCAGGGGGCCCTGGAGAGGAGGGATGTTGGAACTTGAGAGGGATGTGTCCTAGAAGGCTGCCTGGTCCTTCCCTCTGTGAGAGGTCAACCCCTCCACTCCCCCACCCCTTCCTGCCCCCTCCTCACCAGGTGGGCACTCCCAGGCTGGCTCTTATGATTGATCTTCTGTTTGCCAGGCAGATGGAGCGCTCTGAGAGCAGTGGGGCAGGAGGATTTCAGTCAGAAGCACCTCAGACTGGAGGGCAGAGGAGTGGTGAGACCCTGTTTCTTGCCTGTGTCTCTGCTCTCAGAAGACAGGGAGTTCTCAGAAAGGGGAGCCCAACAGCGATCTGCCACTTCTGAGTGTTGGCAAGACACGTGCCCTGAGGCTGCTGACCAGAGTGGTTCCTGGAAAAGTGGGACTGACCACTCCTTGCTCCCTGCCCTCTCTGAGCCTGGAAACGGGCAGGGCCTGGGCTTCTCTGCCGTGCTCCAGGGAGGAGGGTGCTGGCTGGGATGGCTGGCATCTGGAGTTAGTGCTGAGGGAGTCTAGGTAGTGTTCTCCACCTGAGGATCCTGGAGCCGGCGGGGTGGGGGAGCACTGGGGAAGATGCAGGGAGGAGAAAAGAGGGCTTTGCAGGGGAAAGCCTCCTTAAGGCCCTGGAATTCCTCGGGCAGTTCTGGACTGAAGAGGATAAGGAATGATCTGGACCCCCAGGGCAGAGTGGGAATGGAGAGGGAGGACGGGCTCTGCAACCTAAGAACAGAGGGGTGCAGAGCAGGGCGGAGCCTGCTGGCTTCCTACCCTGCTCCTTTCAGGGATTCTCACCTGGCCCAGCCCCTAGTGTCTGGGTAAAGAACCTGGGGGGGTGCAGGGCGAGGAGGCCAGAGAAAGGCACCCAGGAAGGAAGCGGTAGCCCAGGAGCTCTGTGGGCTTTAGGAAGAGGGGAGGGCATTCTTCTCTTGATTCTTTCTTGTCTCTTTTCCTTGTGGGCTAAGAAGTGCTCTCCTGCTCATTCCTGGGAGGAACCAGGCGCTGGATTAAGGGAGGAGAAGGCAGATGGGGTGATTAATAGTTGCAGGAGAGCTGCAATTTATTTTAAACCACAGGGAGCAGCCAAGGCTTGGAGAATGGGGGCAGGTTGTGGGTGAGGCTGGGTCTGACAAGGTCTCTGCCCAGAGAGGACCTGGTCCCTTGAAAAGCCAGCGCAGGTGAGTGTCCAGGGCCCTCCAGGACGAGGGTGGGCAGTGGAGTGGGCAGGAACCTTCTGACACAGAACCAATCCCTCTGGGCTGGAGTGCAGCACCCTGGTCTCTGCAGCCTCCTGCCTTCTCGCTGTGGATCTCTGTGGAAATGCAGAGGCAGGTGGGGCCCCAGCTGAACCCAGAGCAGCCCAGCTAAGGCTGATGTCTGGTCTCCTCACCCCCCTTTGGGGACGGTGTGAATCAGTATTTTATGGTCCCCTACTGCCACCCCCACCAGAGCCCGGTGCCTCTTCCCAAAGTGTGGGTCCAAGAATCCTTCAGGGAGAGGCTGCTGGTTACTCAGCCTTGTCCCAAGTCCCTTTGTCGTCTGCAGCCTGCAAAGCCCAGGAGGTGGTTATGA